AAGAGGGAGAACCACCCCAAGAGCACTTAAAGTCCTCAATAAAGGACACAGATTTTATAATTATATGTTATCACAGCCTAAGAGCGGGGGCAGCCTCACAGATACCAACACTGACTCTGGGTTGCAGGGGACGCAGGGGAGCCACAGCCTCCAACATACTTGAAAAGCTGCAACATCTCCTTCCCAGCAGTTTTCCCAATGTGGGCTTGGGGCCAGCTCCTCCAGGAAGGATGCAGCACAAGCCTTCATGCTCCCAGCTGGCAGATAATAAAAGCTTCAGGGAAAGCTTTCAGGCTCGCCTTCCCCCTCTGGCACAGATGGGCAGGTCTGGACGGTGCTGCCAAGGACTTTCCAGCGGTGTGCGTCACAGGAGCAGCATCAGCAATGCCACAAGGTCTCCTGTCCAGCGCCCGAGGTCCTTTGGGAGCTCAACCCTCTGCTCTCAAATGTTGGTTTCAGCAAAACACAGCTCCAACCCAATTTTATGGCTGCTTTTATTTGAGGCATGACCCGATTTGAAGTAACAAGTCTTCCCTAATAACCAGGGCTGCAGCATAACCACAAGAGATGTTAACATTCAAAGGAGGTGGGAAGGCTTTCTTTGAGAGAGATAAGAAAATACACAGTAATATATAAGCAAGAACAGGGCAAGCTGCACTGCTGAGCTGGTTATCCCTGGACTGTAGACTTGTTGCATGCACTTGCCTGGATGCTGCCTGCCTTCCAGGAGAAGAAAGGGTTGATTTTTGAGAAATAATATTGATTTTAATACACAAGTACTTGTTCACATGAACATACATCACTACAGAGAATCCAGACGCGATTTATCAAGCCTGCAATTATTTTGGTTTGTGTTGCTGGATCCTTTGTTACTGTTGGAAAACAAAATAGCTTTTCCCATGCCCTCCAGACACTGCCTCCCTCAGCCTCCCCAAAATGACATGAAAGATCAGATGCAGAGCTGCCCTGAGCCCTGCTTTTCTTTGCAAACCAGCAGCCCACGTCTTCAGAGGTACCTCCACAGTGCTGCACCCCCAGCCCTGTCTCCTGCAGGGTTCATAACCAGTCCAGGGAAACTGGAGTGTCCCACGGAGAGAATAAAAGTATTCGTCCAGTTTCCCAGGAGCTGTCAGGCAACTGTGCCAGATATGCTAGGAAACAACGCGGTTCCTTTCTGCTGACACAGCCATGCCATTCGCACCATGGATCTTCCCTGCTGCCTCAAAACTTCACTTCTCCAGGGGTCCCGGTGCCTCTGACTCCCCCTCCCCAGCTCCCCCCGGAGCTCAGCACAGCCCCCCGTGAGCAAAGCCACGGCAGATGTGCTTCCCAACAGCTGGCACGGTCCTTCAGCCGGCAGAGCCCCGGGGAGGAGCGCTCTGGGTGCTGCTGTCCATTACGGTGTTTGGAAAGGACATGTTCACATTTGATGAGAAACTTTCAGTTTTTCTACTTTCACATGGACTACGTGAACAGATCCTGCCATGCAGCCAGATAAGAGGAAAAAAAACCATCAAACCCAATGTGACATTCCTAATGACAGACTGTGCTAACGATAGATGCCCCAATCTATTTGCAGTCCAGCCACACAGTCACGCCTGACTACGGCCAAAGTTTGCATCACAACAGAAATCCCACTAACTTCAGTTGTTCCCTCCCAAGTATAGGGAGAGATATTACCTGCACTGCATGGGAAAGTTTTACACGCTAATGGTTTATTCCACCCACAGTCAGTCCTCCTGGCTCCTTACTTGTTTCCCCACTGGTGTATCCAAATGTCTTAATAAAGCAAATTTGATAAATAGGATAATCAGCATCTCCTCCCATCAGATTCAACGGGCTCTCTGAATCACGAACGCCTCCGAAACCCAGACAGGCCCACATCAGTCTCAGAACATCCCATGAGACTGTACAGTAAATCTGCCTTCTTGTCTTCCCCCGCACATCTTCCCCCCCATTCC